ACCCCCCCCAACGGAGCAAAATGTCAAATTTCCAAATTTCGAGACCAAAAAAAAAAAAAAAAAGTGTCCTCTTACCCCCCCCCCCCCCCCCCCCCCCCCCCCCCCCCCCCCCCGCTTATTCAGCGGCTGGCGTAGTCGTTGCGAAATTTTCGGACCGATTTATAAATGTTAAAACCCCCCCCTTGAAAAAATCCTGCGTACGCGCCTGGTCGAGAGAATCATCGAATAAATGCATTATTTTACACATTTGGTGAATACAACACCTTTCTCTTAGTGAAATTTTACACACATGATATTTAAAACGAGTATGTGACCCGATTATTTTATCGATGAGTCTTTTTACTCATTAAAGTACATGTAAGTGCATATTGGATGAGTATTCTCCAACTTTAGTGACCGAATGAGTAAATATATTCACAAGTGTGTAAAGTGGCTTTTCGCTCCCTAATATGTCACAGACTCTTTATTTGTTGGATGAGTAAAAAACCCAACAACCTCGGCCTCTTCGAAGCTGTACTCGTCTTAGGAGCTATCTTACTCTTTGCATGCGTGTAAATATTTCGCTGATGAATATTCGTACGCGTTCGTGATCGTACGTACGTATCCGATCGTCACGTTTTAGCGGTCGATGAGCCACAGAATAAGTGTAAGTAGATTAGATTTTTTTCTTAATTTTGAATCAGTTAGTAGTAAGGGGATCCCTTCAATTTTATTCAGACTTTTCCTAAAACAATTAGTTAAGGCTACCGATTGGATATAGAATCTAGATCTAGTGCTGACATTTTGAAGCTCTTCTTGTGCACGACCGAAGTGTATGGGGTGCATGGCTAAGAACTTCCATTTTCACAGTGACAATTTTTCTTAGTGCAAAACACTAGGATTTCGTCGCACAGAATCCGTCGAAATCTACGCAATCGAACTTTATTCGATTTATATTTGATATACATTTGTTGATTGGACCTCGGTCTTTATTACTACACGTCAATTTTGTACTTTTGTGAATTATATAGTGTGTCACTATAGTGTCAAAATTTATTTACCTATTTGAGTAAGATCACCAAAATATTTCTTTTTGTGCGGCGTCAACATTAAAAACTTAACCTAAGGTTAAATTTTTGAATTTTCAGTATAATTTTGAAAGTATAAGTTCTCATTCAATGAAACTTGGACAAAAGGGTTATCAAGTATTCCCAATAATGTGAGCAGAATTTCAAGTCACAAAATCAAGGTCAAAGGTCATTTCAGGTCAACAGACTTAGACTATGTTGTGGCATCATCATCTTTTTTAATATAATTTTAAAAGTATAAGTTCTTATGCAATGAAACTTACACTAAAGAGTTATTAAGTATCCCCAATCATGTGAGTCGAATTTCAGGTCACTAAGTTAAGGTCATAGGTCATTTTGAAGTCAACAAACTTAGAATCTTTTGTGGCATCAACATCAAGATTTTGAATTTTTAGCATAATTTCAAAAGTGTTTGTTAAAATTCCATGAAACTTGTACACAAGGGTTATTAAGTATCACAGATCTTATGACACAAATTCCAGGTCACAAAGTCAAGGTCAAAGGTCATTTTAGGTCAGTATGTGAGGATTAATAAATCCATTTTTGTTATTTTTTCATATTCAATTAAAGTTATTAATCTTGGTACACATTATAGTAAATAATTCTTCTCATGACTCTTGGTCAATATTTATTCCAAAATGCTGATTATTACCACTTGATTTTTGTCATTCAAATTCGATATGCTGGTGTTCTATCATTGAATAGAATGCGAGCTTTATATCCATGATTATGATTATGAATTTATATAAGTGGGGGAGATGTGAGTGGCGGATCCAGGGTGTTTGAAGGGTAGGGGGCGAAATATTTATCATTTAGCAATGTTACCTTTAATGGAAACATGATTTCCGGAAATCCGCCGTCCTCCGATCTCCAGGCTTTCATAGTGTTGATTGAGTAAGGGTAGTAAGCAACAGCAACATCAATATAGACTACAACAGCATCAACACAAACAGCAAGGCTAAGAACAACAACAGCAACAAGAAGAACAACTTTTAAATGTTCCCCGAATTATTCTTCCCAAAATCATTATTTCCGCGGGAATCCAGTCCTCTCCAATTTCTGTCAGTCACAAGAGGCTGTGATGGAGGGTCATCTGTATCTTTTGTTATATTACCCCTAAAAGGTTTAAAGATACTATGTCCCTTTTGCAGCCAACCTCAAATTTTGTAGAACTTTGCAGGAATTATGAATATGTCATGTTTGTCCTATCTGTGAAATTTAAACGTAAGCGGTGTCTTTATATTCAAATTATGCAAGGAAACCCGTTTACATGCTAGACTTCACTGTCAGACACTATTGTCAGTATTGAGTGACTTTTTCTTCTTCTCTGGTAATAACATACATAAAATGAGCTGTAATGGATTTGTCTACATCAATTACCCACTTCTTGTAATGGCCAAAATTACACTGAATAAATTTTGCGCAGCATAAAACGTATAACCATTCGGTACAATGGTCCGAAAAATCAGACTATTACTTAAGGCCCTTTTACACTTTCACGGATCGCATCACGGATCATCCCGGATCGTCGCTCCGGGATCATCCGTGTTATCCCCGGCATAACCGTGTATACCGGGGAGGCATCCGGCGTGATCCTTGGCGTACCGGCATATCCGGGGAAAAAATTAAGCTTGCTTAATTTTTCATCCCGGAGTTCACGGATGAAACAATCCGTCCTCTTCCCTGTAGGCACCGTGTACCTCCGTGTAGCCGCCGAATACATCCGGGACAGTCCGTGTAGACACCGGGAGGTCCGTATTAACACCGGTTTCATCCGGGTTTGAAATTCCGTATATCAAATGAGCGCCTACAAGCTCAAGTCACCCGTCAACATTCCGGAGATATCCCAATAGACAACGTACACCTCCGTGTAAGGACCGTAAAAGTACCCAGTAGCCTCCGTGCTCTTCCTTGAAATCCGTGTTAGCTCCGTATGCGTTTCCGGCGTGGTCCGCGTTGCTACCTTGTCTGTCCGTGAAGACACCGTACTTGCCTGTGTATACACCCAGTTCGGAACGTATCCACACCAGCATCGAGAAGAAATCGTGGTGTCGCACGTCGGAACACCCCGGATTAAGATCCGGGATTATCCGTGATGCGATCCGTGAAAGTGTAAAAGGGCCTTTACTGGCTCTATAGCTCCTAAGTCGATTCGACAACTAATATTCGTTATTTTCCCACTTAAAGACATTTTCAAGCCCCATTTTTTAAGGGGAGTATAAATTATTATTATCTTTCAAATGCCATTGGAATTTAACCTTTTCATTTTTTTTGGCCTGCAAAAGGGACATAATACCTTTAAAGATACTATGTCCCTTTTGCAGGCAAACATCAAATTAAGAACTTTGCTGGAATTATGAATATGTTATGTATGTCTTATCTGTGAAATTAAACTTGAGCAGTGTCCTAATATTCAAATTATGCAAGGAAACCCGTTTACTTGCTAGACTTCACTGTCAGACACTATTGAGTGACTGACTTGCATTTGTCATCTTTGGTAATATCATCCATAAAATGAGCTGTAAAGGGTACATGAGCATTTGTCTTTATCAATAACCCACTTCTTGTAATGGCCAAAATTAAACTGATTGAATCTTTGCACAGCATAAAACGTATGACCATTCGGTACAATGGTCCGAAAAATCAGACTATTACTTACTGGCTATATAGCTCCTAAGTCGATTCGACAACTAATATTCGTTATTTTCCCACTTAAAGACATTTTCAAGCCCCCCCTTTTTTTTTAGGGAAGCTCTAAATCAGTATTGTCTTTCAAATGCCGTTGGAATTTAACCTTTTCATTTTTTGGCCTGCAAATGGGACATAGTACCTTTAACAAGTTTATTCTTTCGTTTAGGCCTAGTTTCTTTTCCTCCCAGGAGAAGGGACCGCGGTCGCTTCATCTCCGGGTCTGCCAATGCGTTCCCTTTGGATTGCATTTAAACATTATATTAAAAAAAAAAATAATAATAATTAGACAGTTTCGAAAGAATCGGGAATAAAGAAAGTAACATCAACATATTTGACTAATATGTTTATACATTCAGAGGCTTTCGGGTTTGCGAAGCCATAGAGGCATAATTTTGTCATCGGTGCTGACGTCTCTTGCCATATTTTTGTTTTTAAATTTCCGTACGAAGAGCAAAAAAAGGAAAACAGATGATTATTGCGTCAAAACGATTTCTTGAAAATTCATAGTTTATTTATCGGATTATAGGAAGGGGGCTGCAGCATCTCTAGCCTTTAAACAAGGCCACATGTCTGATAGACGCCGAGCGACTAAAAAGAGACTAATCGCGAAAACCTGAGTAAACGCCAGTGCGAATTGCCTAGACCAGTGGCCTTTATCAATCTGGTTTGGATTTCTTATGTTAACCTTTGTTTCCGACTGAAACCCGCTTCAGAAAAGGTAGTGTCAAATCAGCGAACGTATCTCCGCGTGACGTCAGCTTACACACACACACACACACACACACACACAGTAACCTCTACGTAGTACGAACATGGACCTACTATGAACTATTACGTACGTGCTAAGACCACTGACCTCTACATGGAACGAATCACGAACGAAGCCAACTGGGAGATCGCCGTTATGATTGGTCAATAAATCCAAAGTAGGCATATTGGCATGCTAATATGTATCTATGAACAATTCATGCGGAGCAGTAAAACCCACATTCCAAAAGGCCTCGTAACATTCGTCACTCGGTCCCGCGTTCACCCCGGGTATCTAGACTCATCTCAGCCGCTTAGCCAGAGTCACGAGGCCTTGTCAAAAGGCTACAGCATCTCCAGCCCTTTCCCTTGCTAGCCTTTACTCTCGCCTTGTACACACCTATAACAAATAACTCTAAAACGAAACATTTTTGTCCAAATAAAAAGAAATGAGTAACAAGCTCGAAGTTCGATGAGAGTTGAACCTGTAATGTTATCACAGTTGGATTTCTTTATTTGATTATTTTTGGTGTGTTTACAACCGAATTATATTCAGGTGTAAAATTTTGCCTTTATCTTTTCTCTCACATCACAGATCCATGGCAGGGTGAAAGTGTCTTTCAGATTGGTACACTTCGAGAACAACGGTCACATAGAACTTGATGGGGGGTGTTGCGACTTCTTTTGTGGTCGTTGCGACAACAAATTTAGTCTCTGCTTCGATGTCTATGGAGGGTAAGAAGATCCATCATGGCATTTATTTATGTCTCATAAATAAATTAGTCAACAAATGTGCCCAATTTCATCCAAACATCTTTTTGAAATTGAAAAACAATTTTATTTTATACAGGGTATCAAAAAGAAGATATTTCTAAGTGCATCAACATAAACGAGATCAGTACCGAACTTTATTCGAAGCAGCGAAGAAACTTTGTTTTTAACAAATAACTTTTGTTGATTGTTATATAATAAATTAAATGATGTTGATGGTAATGATGGTGATGAGTGATTAAATTAGCATCTTTAATACTTATAAGGTAGCAGTTTGAATATAAGACCCTTTATTGAGACAGTATATTTGAGAATAAGAAAATAATTTTCTTTAGCCGAAAGCCATTCTCATTTCATCGTTGAATAAATGTACCACAGCATATAATTGAGGTCCTACATTTGAATATTTATGCTCATTTAACCACTTCATGTTTATCGATGACCCTGTACCGTCTAAAATGCCGTTCCTGGAATTATAATGAACATGTTTTACCATCTCACTGCAGTTTCCTCACATGTTTAGCCTTCATCCCGTTTAATATATGCCTTTATTCAGGAATTACGGTATGAACCATTGTCCTTATGGCAAGTTTCAAACGGACCTACTCTATAAACACGACGATAATTTCAACTTCCCATCATCTCTAGCCAGCAATCTAGACAACCCAATTGTATTGACAATCAATTCATGGTCGGTGAGTACAATTTTTAAAAAAAATAATTATAATAATAATGATAATAATCTGGATTTATATAGCGCTTGATAAGAAATACCGTCTCTAAGCGCTTACATTTATTATTGCACCGGTCATCGGATTCATTTTCGGGGGTTAAGAGGCCACCGATTACCGACAGAACTAGCTATCAATTACCGACAAATATATTAATGCCAACATATTGCTCCTTTTAGTCTCATTTCACAACGCCCCCTATCGTCAGAGTCAGCAGCCTAACATGTTAGCCTATGGACGTTTTTTTTTAAATCGTTCAAAATTCATTTTTTGTTTAAACGAAAAGCACATCCACCCCGACGTACGTTATCACTAGCTCTTTCATTGGAGCCCTCATGTCTCATTGACTTTTGAAAGTTCACCCACCGTAATTTTTCAAAATAGGTTGCAAGCTCGCCACTGCCTATAATACACATGTGAAACAAGTCGAACTTTGGACTCAGTCTGCCAAGCGATTGTAAGATTAAAGGTCAAGCACACGAAGGATAAGAAGCATGAATTATCAATTATCACTTCTGCTATGTTCATTATGTCCATTTCATCCAACCCCCACCGTAATTTTTCCATTTAGTAAAAGCAAACCAGAAGCAAACATTTAGCCGAGGTAAGCAAAAACATGAATATTCATGACACACCATGGACTATTCGGTTATTAACAGAGGGGTGCAATCGGTCATCACTTCAAACTTCCCTAATTTCCACCAAGTATTTCATATCATTATAAAGTTCGGTATGTTTCTTTTACTCACTCATGAATTATTAAATATCAATGATGGTTTAAAGACATGTAAAAGAAATTTTAGTTGATATTTATTAACAAAGTAATTTATATTTAGCAAAGCAATCTCACATACAAAACTACTATCAAGTGTCGTCTGCTACGCCGATTGTCGCCTGCTTCGTTTAAGGCACATATTTATCGTTTGGACTGTAAGGTATACCAGGGAGATTTGTATTTTCCTGCGGTACAACGTATAACAGGAAAATGTTGTATATGCGGATCCTTTCAATGATTTCGTAATGGAAGTGGCGAGACGCCACGATTCCGTATGGTTTGAATAACTTAGGCAGGTGAAAGTTATTGTATTGAGAAGGAAAGGAATGTTCACACCCGATGGCACGGTTGCCTGTACTTATAGCGAAGAAGAAGAAGAATGTATAATTCGCCCCATTGTGCGCGAACACATCACACCCAATAGCATACGCCCGGTAGCGCATATTTTTTTTACACAACTGTTTAGCCACTTCAGTCAAATATACTGTGCAAACGACTAGAGACAGAGTCTAGCATTACCCTTAGCATTTTTGTTGGATTGCTGTAGCTGTACATGTTCACAAAGTCATACTCGTTATTTGTTTCGTGTTAAATCTATCCTCTCTTCTCTTTCATTATGTATTTCTGTGTTCTCCTTCAATCTATGCTCTTCTCTTTTGTCATGTATTTTTTACCCTTCAATCTATCCTTTTTCTCCTTCGTTATATATTTCTTTATGTTTCCTTCAATCCCCCAGTCTGTCCCCTTCGATATGTATTTCTTTTGTTCTCCTCTATTCTAACCTCTTCTCTTTTGTTTTATGTATTTCTTTGTTTCTCCTTCAATCTATCCTTTTCTCTTTCGTCATCTATTTCTTTGTTTTAATCTGATATAGGTCTACCGTCTATATCCCTTTCTCGACTTTAAAAAAAAAATGTACTTCCCTGTTATCCTTAGTCTAGATCTATGATCCTCTTAGCTCTTCAATTATGTATTTCTATGTTCTTCCTTTGACTTATCCCCTTCTCTTTCCTTATGTGTTTCCTTGTTTTTCCTTCTCCATATCCTCTCCACTTTCCTTGTCAGTTTTCCCTAATTTCTATCATCTTCCCTTCCCTGGATGCGTGCTTGCACATAGCGCGCTGACGACTTAGACTCTTTCACCAGAGCACTTCTTGGAATTTTTTCGCGAAAATGGCTAAACAGTTGAGTAAAAAAAATATGCGCCGCCCGGTACCCTGCAACACAGTAGAACATTCTAAGAAATTGAAAATTTATCTACAAAATAGACCTCTTGAATCATCTGAGACGTAACTTACCCTATTCTGATGACTTCAATGAATTTCAAGATAACAATGGCTGCGTTTCCATCCAAAAATAAAACTAATACAAATTTCTCGATAATTTCACAAAATATATTTGCCGCCGCATTCAATATGATTGGCTAGTTTGGTAGTGACGTCGAACGAGCTATATTTGTGCTGCAGTGATCCAGCGAGCGAAAATGAGACATTCGGAGCAATATGTGTCCAAAATTCTACAAATTTAACCTTATAAACCCGGGGCAGGGGGCTACACTACTTTTCCTACGAACTATCTATAGTACTCAAGTGGGGGCGGTAGTGAGCATGCGAAGTGTGCTACTCATTTACAGAGCCCCTAGGGGGGCTGGTGCAGGGGTCTCCCGCGCGAAGCGCGCAAGCTTTGCCGTTTTATTAAATTATTCGAGAAAGAAAACGATTCCCTTACACCTTTCTCGACTAATCCTTGTCTAAATTAAAAACAAAAGTTTCTATGACTGCTCGTTTTTCAAGTATCATAGTTGTAGTCTCTCTCGAAGTTGTCACAGCGGATTAAAAGTCACAGTTCATAGAGAAAAAATTGCCGACCGACCGACAGCCATGTCACCGACTTCAAACTTCTCCATTGATATAGTATACGTGGATCCAAAAAGAATACCGACACAGCTGACCCGACACAGAAACACATCTTTCGTGTTCCCTCGACGAGACGACTCCACCCAACCCCCCTCTCTTACTCTCATCCCTCTTCTCTCAGCTCAGGCTCTTACCCATCCCCTCTCTCCTCTCTTCCATCCCCGTTTCTTTGTTTCCTTTCTCTCTCTTTTCCCCTCTTTTTTCCTTTTTTTTTTTCTTTCCTTTCTTTTCCTTTCTTTCCTTTTCTTCCTCTTTTTTTTTCTCTTTCTTTCTTCTCTTCTCTTTCCTTTCTTTTTCTTTTTTGCAATGACGAACCTTCGTCATTGCCTTGTTTTCGTTCACATTCTGCCCCATTAATATTCTCCTCCTTAGTAGTGTTTTCCTTATCGTCCAAAAATCCCATTCGTTTTGCACGTAGTGTTTGTTATTCCTAGTTAGGTGCTTTCCTCATGTCCTTTTCATTTCAAATTTCATAGGCATAGTCTCTAGCATCTCATCAAGGTCACCTACTTTTTCGATTTTCGAAATCACCCATGCATAACCGTCCAGGCGCCATTTTGTCCGTTTCTGGTCCATTTTAAGGCCTTTCTATCTTCCTTCCTATCTCCACTATCCTAGATCCTACACATTTCTAACAAATTCCTCTCGATAGTCTAAGAGATGTCCTTTCGTCTGCGACTTATATCTTGCCCTTCAAAATGCCATCTTCATACTCAAAATTCAAATCTGAAACCGTCTCCGTCAACAATCTCTCAAATTCTTGAAAAATTGACCCCTAAATAATCTAAAACTGCCATAACTTTCTCATATAAATTCCTTTTTGTATTTAAATCACACAGTATCTTTATCTCATAATTGCACATAGCCATGCCAAATTTCACGCTCTAACGGCTTTGCAAAACATAAATAGCGCCCTCTAAAGTTCTGGGAATTGGCTTTCTTTCTATGGCCGTATCTCCATTATGGCTTGGCAAATCCGTACCCTTTTTTGGATTTAGATACTTGAAGATATGCCCTTTCCAGCCATATAGAAAATTATATAACCTTACACTGACTGACTTTGAGAAAAATGTCCTCCAAATTCGCCATTTTCAAGAAAATTCCAAAATAACTTAAACTTGCTCTAAAATGGCGATCTTTATACCTACATCAATGAAACTTTGCACACATATGTATCCATATACGTGACAACTGCCTGCCAAGTTTAGTAAATTGTAATGCCCTCGTTGCAAAGTTATCGTCAAAAAACGATGAATTTACTATGCATTACGTAATAGCGCGTTTAATGCGTGCAATACATTGCGCGGAGATAACAATGGTGTCAAACTGACCGCAATGGAGTGCCCTTTCGCATGATACCAAGTATAGTATATGTTCACACAGAAAATTGTGAGTAAATCGCATTTGAACAAAGGTCACTAAACGAATTCCGCCGAGTTTCCGCCCGAATCTAACACGTATCGACTATGACGTCATTTTTTCAGACTGCTTTTCGCCCCTTAAACGTCCTTTTTTTTCCTTGAAAATTTGCAGTGACATGACGAGTTTCAATACGCAGGGCACCTTTTGGCCGGATTTTTGAAATTGGTCAAGGGTGCCATTTAAGACACCATTTTGTCCTATAAATCTATTTTACATCACGTGTTTCGATAGGATTATCATAAGAAAAAAAAGAGTGGTTTACAATAACAACCATGAAATTCTCTTTCTAATGATACCAAATACGGCCCATAAAGAGACGTGAAGAGAGAGAGAAAAAACAATTTAACTCCGGTCATAATACAGATCCTGTACGTTTTCCGCCCATGCATTACACGCATTGTCTATGGGGCATATCGGGTTCAGGCTTTTGGCCCCCAGAACGATCTTGATTGCAATGACGAACATGCACCAAATCCCATTGGTTTTTGCACGCAGTGCTTGCGAGCCCTTTCTAGGTTCTTTCCCCTATCCCAATTTCTTTCAAACTCCGTAGGCATAGTCACTACTATCCCATCAAGGTCACTGTTGAGGCCTTTCTTTCGCCCTACCTATCTCCAATATCACAGAAGCTACAGACTTCGTACAAATTGCTCTGGATAGTCCGAGAGTAGCTCTTTCGTTTGACACGTAGAAACATGGCGTCATTGCACGCACATCGTTGTGACACGATTGCATTTCTAGTTTTTCTTTCTTTTCTTTTCCTTTCCGTCTAATTTTCCCACCCCTTTTCTTATTTTTTCCGACGGCAGCGCAATTTTACCGACAATATCCTGAAAGTTTTTTTTTTTGGGGGGGGGGAGGAGGGGGGATCGCACCCAACACCCCAGCCCCTTTAGCGACGCCGCTGCATGCAGTAGACTTGATATAACAATTACATATTCAGCCAATCTCGTTGCCCTAATATTCGTGAGGTAACGGTTGCCTGGGTATTGCTTTAACAAAGTATTTTTCGGGGTGTGGGCGGCAGCTGTGTTTGCATATGCAGGGATGTTGCATATCTTTAATCTGGTAATTTTGTGTCTTTCATAGAAAGGATTCAAATCCAAGATTGAAGTTTGGGATTATGATCCAGCTAATGCAAACGACAAGATAGATTATTACAGCTACAATCACCCATATACCCCCGTCGAACATCATTCTTGGCGAGAGAACACCCCGTGATACTGAATGGAGCAGGAGAATCTCTGTAAGTGAACTCAAGTTTAAGCTCAAGTTTAGTGTCCATCTTCAAATACACAAACTGTTTCTTCTTTGAGATTATTCTTGGTACTAAGCATTTGTATTGCTCCATTTATCTGGAACTTCTATTCCGAGGCGCATAAGTGCCATATTCTCATGTCGAGCAGTAATGGAAAAAGACGAAGAAAGAAAAAAGAAGCTCAACTTGGATTTGGAACTCTAATAATATTGTAGTTCGAAGGTAACTAGGTTCTTGGAATCTGAAGAAGATGCTCATGTGATGATTTTAGACTACGACAAGGCGTATATGAATAGATCATGAAGGAGCTTGGTGCGAATCAGAATCATATTGTTATTAATGGTATACTTTGAAGATCACATCAACATAGCAGGTACAATCAAAGGGGAGGTCTACAAACAAAGTGCCATATATTTGCCTATGATCAAACCTGTGTGCTAGAAACATTCAAACAAGAATAACGAGTAGTAACATCAGTTTTGCATCCATGTAAAACTTTTATACAATGTACGTGTTCGAGAGGGTTCAAAATCCAACTCCAAATAATACGTGATTTGATTTATGATTGTGTTGACGGTATCTTTTATCAGTTTAATCATGTAGTATCTCTAGATGTATAAAAACAAAGCATGCTTTTTCAGAAGAGATATTATAAGAATAAAAGCATTTTCATATAGGTAAACTCAAAAGTTGTGTTATTTTTTATTCTGTTATTAGAACGAGGGTTGCAGTGAAGGTTTACTGCGATGTGAATTACTACGGAACGTCTTCAGGCTGTAGCACATATTGTTCAGCGAGAGACAACGATGGAGGCCACTATGATTGTAATGATATTACAGGAGCTAGGGTTTGTCACTCAGGATGGCAGGGATCTAATTGCAATATAGTAAGCCATTATTTGAACATAATCATTTGGATTGGCTTTTGGATGGTTGATGGTGTACGTGTGTATAGCTAACGATTTGTCTAGCTATGTAGCGTGTACTCGCATTGGCGACCTGACGTGTTTTTGTCTACTTTTACCATAGGTAAACAAATACTTCTGTTCAATTTCAGTTTAATTTCGATTACAAATAATGAGCCAATTCCCGTTAGAACAGATTTAATGACGAAGATTGACAGTGACTTAATAAGAATAAGGTATAAAAAACAAAAAACATATAGAAAATACTAAAGGATTTCCCGGCCAAATTTGCGAGTTTGTCATTCGAATTCATTGTCTTGCGTTCAAATTCGACGGTTTTAGTGCTGGCGGGTATATCTCGGGTTTATATTCCTTTTTCTAGATTTCAAATCTATGAAGTTTTCGTTAGAATCTATTCTCGTTTCTTACACACTTTTTATAAATCATTTTTTTTCTTTCAAGATTGTTTTTTTCATGTGTATTTCATCATATTTTATTTTATGGCATTTATACTCTTATACTTATTAGACTTGTCTGATTGATATTCATCGGCATTTAAGTTTGATTGTTAAGAAAAAAAAAACTATATACTTGCATCTGCGGACTTGATGGTCTCAATATGTTTATAAATTTTTCATGAAAGAGAGTTGTTTGTCTTGTTTTTCATCATACATTTATCATAATTTCATCATAATTTCATTATGGAGGACTTGTACAATATATAGGGATAGAGACTAGACTCACACAATTTTTGAGCATGATTCATCATTTTAACCAAGTCTTTAGCCATCGATCTCATAAACTGACATTTTTTTTAATTTTTGAAACTGGATTCGTACGATTTAGGCAAAATTTAGATAAACTCCAAATACAAAAATACCATTAACAATTCTTTTCAAGCAGTATTTTGAATAGGACTGGTATTTTGTTTTTATTGTAATTTTATTATCATGATCAATAGTATCATAGTCAGGGGCGGATCTAGCTTTTTGCGAAGGGGGGGGGGGGGGGGAGTTAAAAATTCAAAATCGCGTCGACCAATGTTTCGCTCAGTGTGGGGGGGGGGGGGGTAGTGAGCAAAACAAGAAAAAAATAATTTTGCTCCCCCGAAATTAAAAAAAAAGATTTACTTTTGTGGCCAGCCCAAGGAAGGGGGGCCGCGTGTGATAGTTGTAGTACATTGTAGTAGTGCATGTATAAGTAGTACTTGTTTTTATTCCATTATGGAAATAGTTTCCATGAAAGTTCATTTTATTTCCATTAACTTTAAAAAGAAAAAGGAGGAAAAAGAGATTGTGCTAGAATTGGTCAATTTTGAATACTCGTTTCTCATAATATGATCGATTTTTTTGTAGTTGCTAGAGTTATAACCAAAAAAAGGATATAAATGTCAGATGATAACAGAATCTGAAAATGCAAAGTGTTACTTTTTTATTTACAAATGAATAGAAGTTGGCTACGCCTTCGCCAGTCACGCCTTCGCCGGTCCAGGGAGGAAGAGGTCGTGGACGCGGACGTGGACGCGGACGTGGCCGCGGACGTGGCCGCGGCCGTGGGCGAGGGCGCAGAGTAGGCCAAGTAGGAAATAGACAAGAGCGAGAAGCTGATCAGGCGCGGGCCCTGCAGGACATGCAGGACAACAGAAGGATGCAGTTAAGGGTAAGAAAGCAGAAATGGCTTTGAATACGGGGTCCGGTCTTATATGTGGAGACGACGCGGACGTGGACGCGGACGTGGCCGCGGACGTGGCCGCGGCCGTGGGCGAGGGCGCAGAGTAGGCCAAGTAGGAAATAGACAAGAGCGAGAAGCTGATCAGGCGCGGGCCCTGCAGGACATGCAGGACAACAGAAGGATGCAGTTAAGGGTAAGAAAGCAGAAATGGCTTTGAATACGGGGTCCGGTCTTATATGTGGAGACGACAGAGAAGTACATTGCAGACGACAGAGACGTACAGTAGAGCTAGTGCGTAAGAGGATTTTAGCGATGGAGGAAGTGTAGCCCCTGTTTTCAAATTATGGGCGAATTATATCAAAATTCATATTTTTTGAAATTGGGTAATTCAATCTTTAACCTCGAAATAAAAACCACAAGCTTGGAACCTTGCTTTTCCCCATAATGGTAGTTAATAGACATCATAGACATCCTGGCAGCTGTCAACATGGCTGCACCAGTCGTGCAACCTGCCGGCGATGTCGACTGGTGTGTCTGCGCACACTGTGTGCAGATGGCAACCGACAGAGAGAGAATCTATGTTGTAGGAACGGGGAAAACAACTGTTTGTCCCGTCAACCAGTAAGTATATTTGTTTTTGGTATGACAGCGCTCTCACTCGCGATAAGATTTATGGCGAAATTATTCTGAAGACATAATTATGACGAGTCAATCACACACACCCAGGGGCGCGTCGCTAGACCTTTTTCATTGGCGGGGGGAGGAGCTTAGACGTTTCAATACATTATAAGAGGAAGAAGACGATCCGTTTTACCGTTCTCGGCTCGTCTGAATTCACGGTCCCCCCCCCCCCCTCTCGCGCGAAACGCGTTGACGTTTTCTTAAATTATATACAGTTCTCGAATCCTAATCCTTGTTTGAATTCAATTTCCCCGAAAATTTGAAACCTCTGATTTCTTTCGCTGATAATTTTAGGAAGGTGAAACTTCGAGAATATACAAGACTAGTTGTAGTCTCTCTCGAAGTCGTCACAGCGAATAAAAAGTCACCGTTCGTAGGGAAAACAAAATTCCCGACCGACCCACATTATACATATCACCGACTTCAAACTTCTGCATTTATATAGTAGACGAGGATCCAGCAAGAATACCGACACAGCTGACCCGTCATTGCGTTTCTTTTATGCTCCCTCGACGCGACGACTCCACCCAACAACCCCCTCCCTCTTTAACTCCCACCCCTCCTCTCTCAGGCTTTTACCCCTCCTTCTCCTTTTCCTTTCTTTTCTCTCCTTCCTCTTTTTCTTTCTTCTCTTCTCTTTAGTTTCTTTTCTTTTCTTTCCTTTCTTTCCCCTTCCCTCTCATTCTTTCCCTTCCCCTTTTCCCATGTTCCCCGATGGCAGCGCAATTTTACCGACAATATCCTGACAGGTGGGGGTGTCGCACCCCCCTTTTAGGGTACCCCCACCATTCCTGGGTATATAAACATGTCCGTGGAGAAATGCCATATCCCTTGATTTTGCCCCTTCCTTACTTACTGCCAGACTATACCCATATGCATTGTCCTGAAAATGAATAAATGGAATAACAGAATAGACCCCAATGGCAACGTGTGTTCCATTTCTTCCCCCTAACATACCTACCTTGAAAAAAAATATTTCGAATACGAATGACAGGTGTTAAAAAAATGACATAAAAATGACGCCTCGACAAGTGACGATTAATTTGATTGCTAGTTGAGCAGTTTCTAAATTGAATGACAGATCTATGAAATCCTTTGACCAAAATCCTAAATTAAATACAAAATCGGGAGGGGGGAGGGGGTAAGGGGGCATGCTACATATAGTCTAATAGTCCCCTCTGTTGTCAGCTGTGAGTATTTACTGAATCAATTAATTCAATCTTTTTCTTTATTTCATTAACAGGAGGTCAATGAATGTGATTCAGATCCTTGTCAGTTCAACGCAGTCTGTACAGATCTCTTGGCTGATTATAGCTGTAACTGCCCAGCTGGTACACGAGGTAACAGCATATACATCTACAGTTGATCATTTATACACTTTTAGTTAGCACCTATACGTTTTTTTTAAATTTAGAATACATGTCTTGAGATTTAAAGAAAAAAGGATATGAACAACAAACAAAACTAGCAAATAATTCTAACATCCTCCAAATGCTTTTAAAATTAATTTTGCAGGTAAGAACTGCGACGACATAGACGAGTGTTCTTCAGACCCCTGTGAACACGGAGGCACGTGCGGGAATAAACTCAATCACTATCAATGTGATTGTCCAAGAGAGTACAGCGGTGCCAACTGTGAATTCAAGATCAACTTCTGTGACTCTGACCCCTGTCAAAATGGTGCAACATGCCTGGGTGAAAATGACAATGGCGTCCTGGAGTGTGTCTGTGCTCCAGGTTACACCGGTGTTTTCTGTGATGCAGATATCGATGACTGTATCGGAGTGGACTGTCTGAATAATGGCATCTGTCAAGATGGCGTTAATGCATTTACGTGTAATTGCACAGAGGGGTATGGAGGAACCTACTGTGAGTTAGATATTCGAGATGAGTGTGCATCTGGACCATGGCAGAACAACGCGTCATGCGTAGATAAGGTTGGTGGATATGTTTGTGTATGCCAGGCTGGCTTTAAAAGTGATAACTGTGAGAAGGATGTCAATGAGTGTGATTCTGATCCTTGTTCGTATTGTAACTGCACAGATCAAGTCGGATGATACACGTGCGACTGTTGGCCTGGCTACTTTGGAGAGAATTATACAGTGAACATAGACGAATGTGTGGATAACATGTGCCAAAACAATTCGAATTTTGCTCTCTCTCTCTCTCTCTCATTTTTTTTTATTGTTATAACAAAATTGGTTACAAGAGGTATACAAATGGCATGCAGTTAATGCCTTTCGTTAATACTTGACGATGGCAGGTAGATGAGATTGAATATATTTGATCACGTTGATGTGCACCAGTATATTATGTGAGGCCTTTCTTTGTTGTTGTCATAGTGCAAAATATTCGCATTTTTTAAAGGGATAGTTGAGTTTTTTAATAATTTTTATTTATTTATTTCTTTTTTTGGGGGGGGGGTGAAATAATGAAAACCTGAGTGTCAAATTTGAAAGAACATACAATTTAAATGACACAATCATCTTTGTTTGATCAAAATCGGTTCAAAGACGGCTGAAATATCCAGAAATATAACGATTTATAATATTGTGTACCATCACAAATATTCGATAATTTGGAAAAGCCGTTGAAAATACGAAATAGCGCCTTTTACGTCGTATTTCGGCCAATGCCGATGTTGGCTTTTTTTTGTTGGCTTTTTTGTTGGCTTTTTTGTTGGCTTTTTCGTGTTGTTTATATTACGCACAACCAGCCGGTCAATGTATTATTTTTTTAATTAAATAATTAACGGTCATCGTATTTCTTTTAAAGTGGAGCTGAATTAGTATGGTTGTGTAGGGCACTAGAAATGTCTGTAGCGGAAGCATCTTTGACATGGGTGTCGATCCTTACGTAATACCTATTCATCAGGGGGGATGAATGAATAGATCATCTCCCCTGATGAATAGGTATCAGTTACAGATCGACACCCATGATCTTTGACTTTGTAATTGGTCGTTTCTTTATTGTTCCAATACTCTTGTTGCTCCAAATGCTCCGTAAAAACTGCAGGAATGAAAATAGATCGAACGGATCATAAATTAACTGTTCATGAATATACATATGCTTAGAGAAAACCTGGTGACTCTTGTCAATAATATGCACCTTACAGCTAATTAACCCCTTGTTTTAACCTTTGTTTTAGCTCTTTTCCTGATCTCACACATTAACTTGTACTGCATATAAACTAAATACAATTCTAACTGTTCGTTACTATAATTTATATGCTTAATTGAACTAAGTCAGACTTCTGACATACATCCTTCGTATCACTTCTGTTCATAATTACAGCATGTATCTTTATAAACTAAACTATCTATTAATTATCAATATAAACTTGTATAAATCATATGAAAACTTTCTCATATTATGCACCCCAAGTACTCATCTTTGTACATTAACTCAAACTAGGCAAATCTTTGTTTACATTCTTGCATACGTGTACCTTTCAATCGCATGCCGTAGTGTACATTACATAACAATAACATTTGGTATGTGAGCCGACCGTCTCGGCTACTGTTCAATGTAAGTTACATCCATGTAATGTACACAGCGAGTTAGGTGCGAATGAAAGGTATTATAAGATGGGTAGAAGAATCCCTGCAATCTCATTGGTCAATTACCATGTAATTATTTTTACTGGATGCACGCGATATCGGCGATCGATACCACCGATATCCTTTTTTTCCCCAAATAATTCTCTTTAAAAAAAAAAAAAAATATTTTAATAATTTTTTTTTTTTAATTTTTTTTTTTATTATTTTTTTTTGGTGATAATTATTTTTTGAGTGTTTTTTGATAATTATAATCTGTTTAAAAAAAAAATAATTAAAAATTCTATAATTTTTTTTTTAAGTTTACAGTTTAATGTGCACTGACAATTTTTTTTTTTTAGTTAAAAATCATGCGTCCGGTAAAAAATCATGCGTCCGGTAAAAAAAAAATCATGCGTCCGGTAAAAAAAATTACCGGACGCATGATTTTGCCATGCATCCGGTAAATCTGTAAAATAACAAAATTTTGTATTTTGACAATATTTGGGGCCCCATCTTATAAAACAGATGATGCACAGGTTTAATTCGAGGGTCGGTGGAATTGTGTGCACGCGGTACCTTTGAATTTGGTCTAAAACCATTCAAAGGTACCTTGTGCACACTATCCCTACCGACGCACTCAAACCTGTGCATCATTTGTATACTTAATCATAGAATATCGCATCATTACAGCATTTATATACAACATTCATCACATTGCATCATTACATACCTTCATTCTGCCTTCTTAAGTGCATCTAACATCCATATTACACAAGGATGCATCCAATATCAACAGATTTCATCCACTGGAAACCAAAAAGGGTGCCATTTCTTCACACGAATTTAGTAGCCTCTAGATGGCGCTAAACATAATTATAATCAATCTACTTGATCGACTTAATAAAATGAATTCAAATCGATCACTGAAACAATGTCTTAGATAAGAATAAGAGCAGTAACCATGCACTTTGAAGGCATTTGCGGTCTGAAGACTGAACTCAACTATCCCTTTAAGAAGAAAAAGATACGTTTTTGCGGCCAATTTCACACTTTTTTTCATTCAAATTCACACAGAGGTCGCTCGCAGGTGAATTCGGGCGTTGAAATTCAAAATACGAGCAATCAATTTCATTTATCGGCACTCTTATTCATCTTCGGTGAAATCAAATTCACGAATGTGCGTACAATTCCCTACTTCGTGCATTCAAATTAATATTTAGAGGAAAACTTTGATTTTTTTTTAATAGATTACTTGGGATTATTGTTAATCGCTGTTACACAATGAAATCGCTACAGTTGAGTTGATGTTCTTTATTTATCTGACAATAATTGTTGCCTTTTGATAATGTATTTGATTATCATATCGTCAATTATATATAAACATGAATATCCCGTACTACACCTTTCTTTCAATATATATGTATACAAGTTCTAAAAAATTGGAAACATTGATAGAGTTTTATAACATAAAAACTAGTGATTTGGAGGTGATGTCTGCAATAGTACTGCGGAAATGCATTTTCTCTCAATTAAAAAAAAAATCAATTACTTTGAAATGCACAAATTTGAATGAAAAGACCTTTTCAATGAAATTGTTATTTTGTATGATTATATACCAGTTATGTGTTTGTGTTCCTCTCTCTCTCTCTGTCTCTCTCTCCATATCACGCCCTTACTCTCTCCTTCTCTCTCTCTCCCATGTCACCCTCTTCCCATTCTCTCTCTCTCTCTCTCACGATCTCCTCAATCTCCCCCATCTCTCTCCATCCCCCATATCTCTCTCCCTCTCTCTCCCATGTCATTCTCTCCCCATTCTCTCTCTCTCTGTCGCTCTCTCTCTCTCTCTCTCTAATCTCTCTCCTTCAAATTTTCTCCCCTTTTCTCTTTTACCAGCCCCCCATTATATATATATATATATATATTAACCTAAATTTGTTGTAGGCCTAATCAGCTATGATTAGCTGAATATCAGTCACCTATAAGGATCCAAAGACACTTCCTAGAAATAAACACTTTGCTGATGAAATCACACATCATTAAACACGGATACCGCCCAAACACAAACAAGTATACTCAGCTACTTTTGTTAGCTGAGAGAGTTTACAAATGAAAAGAACAAAGATAATGCAAATGTCATGACAATGAAGCCTACATTATTCGAGAACTGAGCAAAAAAAGCTTCTAAAAAAATTAATTCCAAATTGAATTGATTGCACTTATTTCAAACATGCTTGCTCATTCACAAATTTGAATGACCAACGAGGTACTTTAGCCGGCATTAAATGAATTTTAATGCTCTTTGCATTAAATAAACGCTCTTAGTTAACAATTGAATGACCCGATTTGACAATTGATTGTACGGATAGTGAATTTGAATGACGGATTTTGAATTTGAAAGCTGATTCAACGCTGCGAGTGCGAATTGCACGAATTCAAATGCTCGGAATATGAAGTTGAATGAAAAAAGTGTGAAATCGGCCGCAAAAACCTAAATTAAAACAGAAGAAAATCAGAAAAGGGACATGTAATGATTAAACTCATATTCACACGATTTTATGATTACTTTTACCAATTAATTTTAGCGTTATTTTTTAAAATTTATGCTCAATAATTGATTGTATTAATCGTATTGGTAAATGAAAGTCAATTGATGGAAGTCAACCAAAACAAATTATTTAATTTTATTTCAGGTAGGAGGCTCGCCTTACTGGAAACCCCTACTGATCGTAGCAATTGTTATCATAATCCTCTTGGTAGCAACAGTGTGTTTCAACAAATTTCGTGGGTATGTCTAATTCATAGATAATCCATGAAGTATATTTGCGGAGTTTGTGATTATTTCATACCTGTGTTGAAATGCCTGAACTAATTATACAGACTAAAGTGAGGTAAAAAAGAATCACTTTTTGAAAGTTGTATGCCTTACAGTACATTACTTTTCTGGGGTAAGTCATTTCACAATTCAGGCCGTGTCATGTCAAACTTGTATTGATAATTGTATGTGCATAAAGAGATCACCGTATCCGACAAGGTGTATAGTGCTTAAAACATGGGCTGTGAATTGAGGACACACACAAAGAAGAGATGAAGATAAGTTTTCTGGGACACGTTTCATTCTGAGGAGTGAGACACTGCCTTCAACCGCTGATTAGTGGAAATCTGATTTACTTTATTTTAGATGGACATTATGTGAATATACCAGTTTTCAATGTTTTTGTATGATTGTTTTTTATTAAAGGTATAAGAAACCAGTGACGGCCGATACACCCACGAATACTACCAGCATACCGACGACACTCGGTGCTACAGCAGGCCCACCCCTTCCACCAAAGGGTAAGTAAGACGATCCCAACATGTTCATGACCTTCACAAACAACATTTACTCCGACATCGATGGTACTGAGATTCGTGGTGCCTGTGCGTTATCCACCAACCCGAAAGACACGAAAGATGACTTCGAGAAGGAGAACCCTTACGCTACAGGAGGCTATCTTCGTAATTAATGGTCGATTAGCACAACTCGAGAACCCCTATGAATTCGCGAGAGATCCCGATGTAACTGATGCCCGTCCTGTGAAGAAAAATGACTATTTTTCGGATCCAACGAGTAATACAAGTGCACAGAATACAGTAGGTCATGACCAAGGTAAATTCATACGTTTTCCTTTCGCCTGTCACCGATGCATTTTGTAAATATGACTTTTGGTAGATATCTTAATCAGTTACTAAACATGCGATGGAAATAGTTCTTGAAGCAGTCGAGCGCTTACAATCACGTGATACTAATATTTTAACGACTTTTATGATTGCTTGTATTATAGATTTATGTTTACAAATTGGATTTTGGTTCAGAATTTTGATTTAGGGATTCTAGGGGAGGCCAAAGTATATTGGTATAGATATCGATATTGTAATGATAAACTACGTACAGTACTGTATATATATATTTTTAAAATCATAAACGATAATTGTCTTTGCAATTTTCTAAGTGGAGTCCAGTTCGATATGCCTTTTTCCACAAGGGGTCAAAATAAAAACGTACTCACATTAAAAATTTGAACTCTGTAGATTTGATAACGAATTACGAGCGTCGTGCAATCATCCTCATCATCCTATTTCATGTATAAGGTGATCGTAACGCTTTGTTATTATTCCAACATGCAACTGTAATTATATGTAATCTAAGAATAAAACGATTTTATAACTGGAAAACGTTCAATGCAGTATAATTCCACTATATAAAGGGATCAAAGAACCTACTTCAATACAGCTTGCTTACATAACATGGCCATGTTTAATACTCGATTATGATGTCTTCACTCCCTTGATTTGCTTAACACAATTATCTTTTGTCTTTATCGTATTGCTTGCATGGTTTGCAGAATCTTTCTCACGATATACAAATGTTACTTTCATTTCTCTTTGTCTCATATCTTACGAATCTACATTTAAAGGTAATCTTGAGTTCTGGTGATTATGGATATAAAATGTTAAAGAATTAAAGCAAACATAAAGTGAATTTTTAGTGATTAAAAAGAAGTTGTATCTTGTATTATGTGCTGTATAAATTCGGTTAAGAGTATATAATATCTGAGTATGAGGAAATAAAGGAAAGAAAAGAAATCGAAAGGGTCTTTTATATTGCGTGTCAGGCAATAGAACAGATAGTTTCAGTAATAATATGATTTTAAGAAATTTGTCGTCCGTTTGTTTACATTTTGCTGTTCTAATGGGAAAAACCCCACAAACAAGCTACGACATACAATTCTGCTTTCTGCATGATGAGTTTTGTAAATCTGTTTTAAGACAGTTTTTCTCGAAATGTAGTCTTATCACCAGAACTGAGAAGAGGCTTGGATATTGTTTTATATTCACTAATCGTTCCTTTAACTTTCATATTGAAAAAAGGTTATGTCATTTCTTAGCTTTCATTTATATAAAGAGAAATGCATTAATTATCTTGGGTTCTATTTTTGTAATGTTAAGAATGTTGATATAAATTCTCTTAATAGCCGATGTTATAGAATATGAAATCAGTATGCGTAAGAAGATGAAAACTTTTATGTGGTATATCTCGCAATTTGAATACTATTACCTTAGTTGCACCCTTTTGGCCCTTAGGGCCGATGTGAAAAAGAAAGAAAAAAAATCGAATGAGCTTTTGGAAATCTCGAAGGATGAAGTCGTCAATCTTCAACTAATTAAACAAAACAAAAAGAGGAAGCAAACGATAAACTAAATTTTTTTTCGAGGGATGTCTTTGATATATAAAAGAACACAAAAGATATTTATTTGCAAACACAGTTGGAAAATCCAAATATCTTTGTTCACGAACTAAACGATATAAGTTCATAATTATAAGTCTTAGATTATATAAGAAAACCAACATCAGCAATGAAGATCGCTTGTTTAATTGTTGACTTATTATTATAAAACAACAAAAGTGTGTATTTTGGGGAATATTGCAAAGGTTTTGACATTGCAAAGGTTTTCAAAGAATTCATATCTAATAAATATTGTATAGAAATTATTTTCCAGCATTACAACTTTTAACGATTCAAACTTGTGCTGTATCATTTTTAAGACGGTCAGCTGTATTTTTGGTAAGCATATTTATAGAGAGACAGAGTTAGAGAGAGAGAGAGAGGGGGGGGATGCTGGCTGAGCGAGTATATTAAAGGGAAAAGACTCTTCTACAGAGGGAGAAAGGTAGATAGATGGATAGAAAGAAAGAGAAAGAGAGAGAAATATATATATATATATATATATATATATATATATATATATATATATATATATATATTGGATAAGGCAGACTATAATGGAGCATGGTTGCAACTCGGAGTTGCAACCATGCTCCATTAGTCTGCCTTATCCAATATATATTTTGCTCTGCCCATAAGCATTAAGCACTGTACGGAGGAATAGACCAAATCTAAGTATATATATATATATATATATATATATATACATAAGAGAGAGAGAGAGAGAGAGAGAGAGACGCAAGGGGAAAGGGGGGGGGCTCATAAATAAATATTAGGGAAAAAATGGAGTAGGAAATATTGCCAATTTATATGGAACTTCGATATCTATTCAAGCTTATTCAACTCAACAGAGTTTGGACTCGTTTAAAGGACATAGTACACATTCATGTTTCTTTTCTTTTTAATTCGAAAACAGAGGCGGCGTTCCATGGGGGGGGGGGGGGGTAGGCATCCCTACCAGTGTCCCCACCCTCTAGTTTCCAAGCCCTCACGAAAGCCCCATTTTTTAAACACTTTTGAGTGTTCATTTTCCCTTCAAATCAAATCACCTGACCTATTGAAGAGCTAGCCATAATTCATCACAGATCGACTTGCAATTGTCACTAATATTAGATTTCGTTTACAATTCGAATTTAGGAAACAAAACAATTCAACAAATGTAGACTGTTTCCTGATATTTTGTTGATTGCACCATTGCATGATCGTTAGGTATGAAAGGGCACATCAATTATTCGATGATTTGTTCTTCTGTTCTTCTTAAACCAGTTAATTTGCTTTTCTGTTTTCATCTATTTTGTATTTTTCTTAAATAACGAGTTTTCCTGTCTCATATTTTGGACACTCTAGTCTTGCCTTTACCACCATCGAGTTATTCGTTACTCCGGAATCCGACCGGTTCTTTATATTCCCTACACTGGATTCAAGCCGCCGAAGATGGGGTTATCAACGAGCTTTAACATAACCTAGCCATCCTACATGTAGGTGCGCGTGTTATACTAATTAGAGGGATAATGATAATACGGTTTATTTAGTCAGACTCCGGACGGCGCCCGGACGGGCCCCTCACGATTTTGGGGTTCAATTATCATGAAAAAATCTTTACGGGTGCCTTGCGGTGCTCAAGGGTTCTGTACGTGTCCCTACGGCGCCTTTACGGGCCCCTCAAGATCCCCGGGTGATATGCACAACAACAGGCGTCTGCCGTCCGGGGGTCATTTAAAAATGAATATTGCCCGTGCGGGTCCCTCACGGCGGCATCTCGAAATGTACACCGCAGTTTTAAATACAGGAGGTGCGGATACCAGAGGACACATACAGGGTATGAATATTTAATCATGAGTTTCATGAAATGTCTTGATAGAGTTTTCCTCCCAGTACATTTAGGTTCATTTGAATCTCTGCATGCATAACTGAACATCAGACAATCTTTACAAGACTGCCAGATCTCACTTGCGCCAAGTTGCTTGGTGAGAAATAAAATAACGTTTTGAACAAAGACAGCCATTTTTTCGATTATCCAATTAGCCAGATAGACAAAAACACACAAACACACGCACACAAACACACACGCACACGCACCCACATGCACAGACACACGCACATAAATGAGCATTCCATTCCCGACAAGGCCAACCCAAACCTTTTTGTCGGGAATTCATCTAATCGTACGAAAAGTTGAGAGGCCGCTGTCCTCTTGGTGCGTATTGGCAGATGTTGTGCTTCATGATGATGCTACGATACTACGATACTACGATACTACGATCAACAGCTCTATATGGTTTGCTCTTAAATTCCTTGCTATTTTTACCGTTTTACCGGCTGATTCTGGATAATTTCATTATACATCATTTGTGATATACCATATACTACTACTGGAACGAATTATCTTACATTTGGAACTTCTCATGTGAGAATCCTGTCGGAAACATTCATGGAAATATGTCGGCTTCTAAAAACTGTGATGACAGCGGAGCCCCAGTAAAGCGTTGGTCACATCCCACCGTGCGTGTTTTTAGTCCGTACGGTTTTTGGTGAGGCCACGGCCGCCACGTTTTTCTGAAAACGTAGAGAGGGATTGGCAAAGGCAGGGAGGGAGTACCGGCAACGCGCGTTACACGCACTGTGGCGAATCGGTAGCCCGAACGCAGCCCGAACGCAGCGAAAGTTCCTCGTGCACTAAAAGTGCTACGGTGTGTCTGCGTGCTCGCAAATCCGTACGGAGGCGGTACTCATCACGTACGGATACCCACATTTTGCCCACGTTTTTGCACGTAGACAGCACGCACTTGCAAGTACGGCGGGATGTGACCACCGCATTACTCGGTCCCGAAGTTACAGGGGGCAAAGTCAAGCACAGAACGCCAAGGGGCAAGAAGCTTATCATCAACGAGCTGAAGACATGGAAACAGCAACAATTGATGGAGACAATAGCCTTGATCTAGCTATTGAATCCAAGATTAAAACCGCATTATGTTCCCCCGAAGTCCTAAATGCCCTCGTCGCTGCAGTGAAAGAAGCTATCATCGGGAAAGTTACGCAACAAGTGTACGCTGCACTGAAAATGGACATGGAGTCCAAAGAAGAAGAGACAAAGTTGGAGAAAAGGAAAGTTGAGAAACTCGAGGGGAAAATCAACAGACTTCAAGAAAAACTGGATGAGCAAGAGCAATATAGTCGACGAAATTGTCTGAGAATATACGGAGTTAAGGAAAGACCAGATGAAAACACGGATGACATCGTTGCTGAAATCGCTAGAAAACATCTGAAAATTGATCTTCAAAAGAATGATATCGACCGTAGCCATAGAATTGCACCGAAACCAACATCGAATACAACTAGAGACACCGGCAAGGAGAAGAGCATCATAGTGAAATTCGCTACCTACAAAGTGAGACAACAAGTGTACAGCGCCAGGTCGAAACTCAAAGGGAGTAAAATCTTCATCAACGAAGATCTAACAACCCATCGCCAATCATTGATGTACTTTGCTCGTAAGTGTGACGCGACCTCGAGGACATGGTCTCGTGACGGACGAATCTTTGTACAGACTGGAAATGGTGAAGAAAGGCGAATAACCCTGATCCGAGGCATGAGCGACATCGAACGTCTTGGATAAGAAGAATAGAAAGTACGATCACGTAAGAGACATTATGCTATATAATAACGATGCCGATAAAGTTTCCATGTATTATTTGTGAGAAAAAAGTGAAAAGTAATCATAATGCATTACTATGTTTCCAATGTTCGCATTGGTGTCATCTTAGTTGTACCCATACTTCTGATTCCATATTTAATTCAAATTTAGACTGGACATGCGATTTATGTACATTAAAAGAAATGCCATTTGCAAATGATTACAGTACAATGAATGACAGCATTAACTTTATTAATGAAGAAGAAGAAATCAGCTTTGCTTCTGATGAAGAAAGAATGACAAGAGAAACAGATGACAGATTAGACGAACAATTAGAAAAGGTAACTAGGTTAAAAGGTCTTAAATTTGCTCATCTGAATTGCTTATCCTTACTTAGGAATTTCGATGAACTTTGTACCATTCAAGAAAGACTGAGCATAGATTTTCTGACATTAAGTGAAACTCATATTGATGATTTGATAGATGATTCAGAATTGAAAATTGATGGGTATGATATCGTGAGAAAGGATAGGAATAGGAGAGGAGGTGGTGTAGCGGCCTATATCAGATCGAATTTGAAATATAATATTCGAACAGATATAATGAGTGATGAACTTGAATTAATAGCTATTGAGCTCAAAGTATCACACAGGAAACCAATTGTGGTACTTGTATGGTATCGGCCACCTAATGCAAATGTAGACGTATTTCAACAGTTTGAACGGGTCATACAATCAGTTGATGATCATGAATCTGATTTATTGATACTTGGTGACTTGAACTGTGATGTAGCATCATATACAAGGTCATGGCAGACAAAACACCTGTTTGACATTATTGAGAGTTATAATATGGAACAAATCATAAATTCACCCACTAGGGTGACACCACGTACCTCATCAACAATAGATGTTATTATAACAAACAGACCCGAAAAAATAACAAATTCTGGAGTTATTCCAATATCACTTAGTGATCATTATATGGTTTATTGTACTTTAGGATCAAAGCATAATGCATGTAACGAGAACTGCCATAGATATAATATTTCACGCAACATTGGAAAAGTGGATGTGGATGATTACGTGCATGATGTAGATCAGATATCATGGGAAGATGTTGAGACGTTTGAGAATGTAGAATCCGCATATAATTACTTTGAAAATAAGTTGTTAAAGGTTATAGAAAAACACGCTCCACTGAGAAAAAAAAGAATTCGGAAACTCGAATCTCCTTGGATGACAGAGGAAATCATTGTATTAATTCGTTCCAGAAACTGTCAAAAGGCAAGGGCTATTGTCTCCAAGAATGAAGATGATTGGAATGTATTTAGACGGCTTAGGAACCAGATTACAATGAAGATAAGAAAGGCAAAAGCAGCATTCATTACTAAAAGTGTTGTTGAAAGTACTGGAAATTCAGGAAAGGTTTGGAAATCCCTAAAGCGTCTAATGCCTGTCAAGTCTACAGATGAAATTAAGTGTATTGAAAAGGATTCAAAGGAATTGCGTAACAAAAAAGACATAGCAAATGCTTTTAACTCATTCTTTGTTGACATTGGCCCTTCCTTGCAAGAAAAATCATCTTTTGTCGATAAGCAATTTGAAGAGTATATCAGAAGATACGATTGTACATGTACCTT